TGCCAAGATGGTTACACACCTCAAGCGACATTTTGGATTTCGAATTGCAGGGGTTTTCGGACGCAAGTCTTCAAGCATATGGAGCTGCAATTTATTTACGTGTTATCTATAAAGATGGTTCCGTTTCTTCTCGTCTCATTTGCTCGAAATCAAGGGTAGCTCCCTTAAAGACAGTCTCAGTTGCTCGCCTTGAACTTTGCGGAGCTGTTTTATTGGCTAAACTTGTTCACAGAATGAAATCAGTCTTCTCTTACTCATTTTCAAAAATCGCGCTTTGGACTGATTCTGAAATTGTTCTCAGCTGGTTGAATGACACTCCATCTAGATGGACAGTTTTTGTTGCAAATCGAGTCTCAGAGATTCACGAACTCAGCTCAATTTCTCAATGGCGTCACATCGACTCCAAATCCAATCCTGCAGACTTGATTTCTCGAGGTACAGACTCATCCACATTACTCAGGAGCGATTTGTGGTGGCATGGCCCATCCTTTTTATCTGACCTCACATGCCTTACACCTGGTCACTTTATAATAGGTCAACCTCTTACATCTTTTCCTGAAAAGGATGTGTCTTCAGTCCCTGACAATCGACTTTCGTTTTGGGAACAATGTTCCAAAATTAGGTCACTTTTTTGGAAGAGATATTCTACAGAATATCTGAACAGGTTACAACATAAGCCCAAATGGATCAAACCCGCATCCAATTTAAAGGTCGACATGATGGTGTTACTGAAAGAAGATAACACACCCCCTCTGGACTGGATGCTGGGTCGGATTCAGAGGGTAATGACTGGTCCAGATGGCAAGGTTAGAGTGGCCGAGGTGAGAACACAAACCGGCTGTTTTGTTAGGCCTATTACAAAATTGGCTCCCTTGCCTTTTGATTAAGTTGAAGGCGAGACTTCAACTGGGGGGGAGGATGTTTAGATTTCTTTAATAACTCAAGTCATTTATTGCACGTCATCGACGGTTCACAACACGCCATATGTTATCGAACGCCCCATGTTATCGAACGCCCCTCAAAAAATAGACAAATGAATATAACCCAACATTTTAATGACAGTTTCGGTCTGGAAAATTCGATTCCAGTATCATCCAGTTACATACACTCAGCGCAACAAGTTCCGTGTCAATGCACTTCCTCCACGTGGTTAAAAAACCAACACTGTTAATTGCTATAATTAATTTAATCATAATATTGTACTGTTCGTCTTTGCTAATCCGTTTTTTGCGGTAGTAAAAGTGTTTTGAGTTGGAATTAAAACGATTAAAAACTAACCGCGTTCGAGTTTTATTAAAACCACCCAAGGTCTATCTGGTCCACTCTATCGAAGGAACTCTAAAATCCCCACACGAAGTATTTGGTTTCGGAGTTCTGTTTATCAAAGGAGTCCAGTTCGTTCCTTGCGATGGCATTTGTTGAACCGACTCTAAAGCTTTACAATGGTTTAGTAAGAAATCTTGTAAATTTTGAAAAGTTGGGGGTTCGGTAGTACTATACCTTAATTCAAAAGAAATTCTAGTAGCATTATCCAATTTTTGTAATAACATGTTGAATAAAACGAAACACCATTGGTCCACTGGGAACCCTAAATTACTCAAAGCCGCAGTGTTTTCTGAAAAAGTGTCTAGTAATACTCTTAACTCTTTTGAAGAATTGTTTTTTAACGAAGGTGTATTAGTAAGAGAGCTCCAGTACGTCGTTGCTAACAATCTTTTATTTTGATAGCGGGTTTCCAAAGTTGTAAATGCTTGCTGATAATTTGAGGCGATTAAAGGTAAGGATCTTAAAAGGTTGGCCGGCTCATTTTCTAAAAATGAAAGAAGGTATTGAAACTTTTGTATATCCGAATATCTTGAATTGTCATGAACCAGCGAACGATAAACATCATAAAAGGTAGGCCATTTTCGCGGATTTCCATCAAAGGAAGGCACTGATAAAGGAGGTAGATCTACATCTTTATTTGTTTGCTGGTTTTGACCTAAAAGCGACACTGAGCTGCCAGGATGTGCGTGAATTGGGAACAGTTCTGTATAAATTGTTTTTGTTTTGAAATAAAATGCATCTGCACTCTTTCTAATAGCATCTTGAATTTCAAATTCGGCGTCCGAATCAATAAGACCGATAATTTCATTGTGGCGCTTTTTAAAATCCTCGTAAGCCTCATCTATGTTTTCATAAATCACTTGAAAATATGTATGCTGTGAAGGATCTGTTTTGGCTTTTACCGCTAAATTATAAGCTTCTGTAATTCGATTAATAGCGACAGTTCTTTTATTTGATAGCTTCGCTAAAGACATGATAATATTATTACTTAATAACACTAATTTAAATTATTAAAATGTTATTATTTATATTACTCTATCTAATGTAAACAACGAATTAACGAAAGTGTCTAGAGAAATTATAGCAACAAGCAAATAAACAAATGTAAATCTATTCAAAGTGGAATGGTCCAAAAAAAAAACACAAACTAGCAAACAGTTATTTTCCTTTTCTTTTTTTTTTTTACCCGATAACATAAACAAATCCGAAAAATATCTAACTATGTAAAATTGATAAAATGGATATTATTTTTACTTTTAGAATCCAAGGTCAATGCTTTGCTTCCACGTACAAATTTCTAATATTTTCCCTTTTATTACTGTTCCAAGTTATCCGGATCGTAAGGCCAAAAAATGTTTATGATTAAAACGTTGGGAAATTTATTCTGGAGAGCCACGGACTGTAAACGCGTCGAAATTTGATCGCGGAACCATACAAAGGCAATATTAGATAAGGCACCTACCTTGGAGTTGCACAGGGTTGTGCTATGCGCTGGTGTTGGCGCCTCACAGGAGCTCCTGTTTCATAAACAATGTAATCCCACTGGTCACTTCGAAAACGGGTAGATAATTGAGTTTCTAATTAATATTTTTGGAGAGTTTTTGATTCAAAATATGTAGTCTTGGCTACGGACACGCGACCTCGCACTACTCGAACTCGACTGCTTCGAAGGTCGTAGCGTATATATGGTGCCGAATGGTTTGAAATTGTATGGTTTTTATCATGTCAATATCGAATTTTAAATATACAAACAAATCCCCCTTTGTCCCAAACATTTGCACGAACAACCGCCTCATTTATTTAAAATTCTTCACATTCTTTCAACTGGAACCGGTGTTCTTAACTTGGGCGAACAGTATATATATACAGGGTGTCCCACGGTGGATGGCGTATTAGATGTTTATGGAGAACTAAAAAGCGGATCATTTTGAAAATTTGGCAACCGGGATAAATGACCGTGATCTACACTTTAAAAATATTTTTGTTTATGCGGTGTTGCCGCTTCTACTCTAAACCAGTGGCAACATCGCTATTTTAAATGAAACACCCTGTATTTAATTGCATATTTGGATTCTACATAAAATTCTGAGCAGATTTCATGTGATATACCCTATACCTAAGTTCAACTGTTTTGGAAATATTGACAGTTGAAAATTGACTTTTTGCAACTTTGACAGGCTGTAAAACCTGAACGGTTAATTTTAGAGAAAAACCGATTTTACATTCCTATCTTAGATTTTTATAAACTATCATTTGACACCAATTTTGAATTTAATCCATGATTAAAAATTCCAATTAAATTTAATCTCCGGTTAAATTCAAAGTTGGTGTCAAATGATAGTTTACGAAAATCTAAGATAGGAATGTAAGATCGGTTTTCCTCTGAAATTAATGGCGTATTCGACTACCGGCACTAGTGCGCACTCGGCTCGCATTTTGCGAGTGCAGTGCAATAATTTATGTTCGGGTTGATTCAGCTCATAAGCGAGCAAACATTTCTCGTGTTCGACTACCCGAGCTAAGCGCGGGCAGGGCAATACTTTATGTTCGGATTGTTAGCGTGGCTCATCCAGCGTTCGAACTTTTTGGAACTGTAATTTTTGGCGGTTCAAGTAGATTGCACTGGATTTTTTGAAAAAATAACCTCAAATTTCCAATCCGTCTTTTGTTTTACTAATTATTTATTTTGCGTTTTTGAATGTTTGTTTACAAAAAGTTTCTGAAATATGAATAATAAAAAAAGGAAATTGTTGTTATTATTAGCTGCAGATGTATTATCATCAAGTAGTACTAGTAGTAGTAGCAGTAGCTCAGAAAGTGATGATGATGATGGTGAATCAATTATGGCTTTTAGTTTTCCTAAAAAGAGACCAAAGATTCAAAACTATTTGGATGCCGACATTGCCGGAAATTGAATCGGAAATCTTAAATAAATTTCAAAATTTATCAATTTGAGCTTTGAGGTTAAGTGAAATTGAGAAAAAAGTAAACGCAATCCAAGTGCAATAATGGGGCACATACGAACGCTTCAACTCGGATTTTCACGGAGCCAGTTCACTATTTTTGATAATTCGCTCTGAGCCAGCGCGCGATCGAATCGCCAAATACCCGCTCTTGATTTTAGTGCAATTGCACCATCATTTTTCGAGCTTGATCGGAGCCAGCGCTGGATAGTCGAATACGCCATAACCGTTTAGGTTTTACAGCATGTCAAAGTTACAAAAAGTCAATTTTCAACTGTCAATATTTCCAAAACAGTTGAACTTAGGTATAGGGTATATCACATAAAATCTGCTCAGAATTTTACGTAGAATCCAAATATGCAATCACATACAGGGTGTTCCGTTTAAAATAGCGATGTTGCCACTGGTTTAGAGTAGAAGCGGCAACACCGCATAAACAAAAATATTTTTAAAGTGTAGATTATGGTCGTTTATCCCGGTTGCCAAATTTTTAAAATGATCCGCTTTTTAGTTCTCTCTATAAACGTCTAATACGCCATCCACCGTGGGACACCCTGTATATTTATATTTTTTATATATATATTTATATTCATATTTATATTTATGTTTATATATATATTTCTTTATGATCTGTGGTAAAACATCTTGAAATTCTTAGACCAGTCTTTACCTAACCAAGAACAAAATATCAATAATCATCAATTTTCTTACCTGCTAAACATGCTCTAATCGCAAAGTGCTTCACGGAATACATGTCTTTCGTCATAAAATAAATGTTATCAGGCAAAACCTTTGACATAAAACCAAAATCCAGCAAATAAACGAAAACCCAAGTTTTTTTTTTCATCATATAGGGTATCTTTACCAAAATCCCTCTATAATATGCCCCTTCAGTATAAACAACACAATATAGATTCAACTTCAAATTTTCTTCGGGAAGTTTATAATGGTTGTTATGTTTCGAATAAAAATCATTCAAATATCTGTGCAGCAAATCCATTTCCAGGTGTTTGGTGACCACCCAAAAATGTGATGGATCATAAATGTGGCTCACTCTCATAGAATAAATTTCTCCGATTTTCCAGTCTTCTTTGTCATAGTAGGGTGTGATTTGGACACGTTCTGTTAGGACTTCGTTCAGGAAAAAGTTCCAGTCAGTGGCAATATGAGTTGGGGATTTACTATTATTTTCGAGGGTTGAGATGGACATGATAATGATTTTTTAAATCAAATGTGAAATCGTGGAAATGGCTGGCCGACTGGCAATTGAGGTTATGTCGTATGTTGTTTATGTTATGCGTTGTTATGACAGTTGGTTAGGGCATAAGGGCAAGGCGATTTCGAATCATATTCTTTTGCATCATTTACAGAACAGGAACTAGTGAACAAACTGGCACGGGCCACAGGAGGTATTCGACTACTACTCTACTCTGCACTGTTTCTAGGCAGCTTCGTACTAACCGTGCGTTCGGTATTTTAATCTAAGTTCTCCGAGCTTGAATTTACCGTTCGTTTATCTAAAAATTATGCTCGGTGCAGGCTCATTCGCGTTCGTTTATTAAAATTTCCAGCGCTATAGCGTTTAGCCCGGTATGCAACAAACTGCAACTTTCCGAAAGGAATAAGCGTGTAACGCCCCGGAGCTGTTCCGGAGTTCTTCCTAGGTGTGAAAGAAATACAACTAATATTTCGTCAAATCTTACTTGAGCCAAGATGCAACCTTGAGCATCGACTATGAATATGGGCCTTAACTACTCTGTGCGCTCGCTGGTCACGTGATTACGGCTCCGCTTCAGCACGCTCTGGTCTTTGACCACAGTGTTCCTAACTGCAGGGGATTTTCCTTTTTTAGGGAATTTTGGCACCCAAAAGGGAAGGGGGATTTTTATTTATAAAATCGTCGAAATGAGGGAATTTTTGAGAAATAGAAGTTTGGCATCGATGAAGATAGAAGTTGTGTTCAGCACGGATTTGGAGTGGAGTAAGCGATGTCACTCTACCTACGCCGAAAAGCAATACTCGAACGCCTGGAGTGGGTACGGAGTTACGCGGAGCGCGGAGTGACAGCCGAACGCAGCAATGTTCGATTTTCGGTTTCTGGGGTTTCCGGTTGTATTTATTTTAGTGCAGATGCTTAATTTTTTCAATTTGTTTGTAATCCGTTTAATCAATCAAACGACTCAATTTTTTGTTTTATTACATACACAATAGAAAGAAGATATTTTTGGTTTTGATATAGGTAGTCATTTGGCATTTACTTAGATGTACCTTACCTACTCGTAGGGCTTTTTCGGAAACACTGATCCGACGATCCGACTAAGGGCGGGTATTATAAAACTACTTTGAGAGTAATTCGCAGTTCAGCATGAACGTCAATTCTACGCCAATTTTGGCGTAACATTCCGCATGGGCCGCATTTAAGCACATCAAAACCAAAACAAACAATTTTCTAACCTCCTAAATGTCTTGTTTATTTTTGCTCTAGGATTTTGTGTGTTTTTCCTCTCGTTTTCTGTGTTCTTATAGGACAGTATAGTGACAAAATAAAAAACAGAATGATGAGGAGTAAAAGTGTTGTTCTAACAGCAACTTGCTAAGGCTGTAACGACGCTGAAATTGTCCACCCTCTAGACTGTGAACAAAAAAATCAAGAATCATAATCACCTGTTAAACAACCAACATCGGCGGCAGAGAACTAACGACTCAAACCACACATGCCTCAAACTCTATATTCATATATAAATGGATCATCCAGAACAAGGAACCGAAAATTATCAAAATCTCCGAATTCCTGATCAAATCCCTAAAGACAGACACTAACAAATAAGCAATGACCGAATTATTGCCCAACCAAATCAAGAAGCTCAAGGAACTGTACACCTGCTAAATGATGCAACATTTCATCACACGGAATGCCGAATAACCGAGCCATAAATCATACACGTGCAGCAGGCCCAAATTAAGAAGATCAAGGCCGTCGGCAAGTACACAAAGAAGCGGCACAAAGATCAAAGAAAACGCGGCCCAAAAATCACAGATGCTCATAAATTAGGGAGTGTCAAAAGCGGTCCGGAATAAAGGAAACAGCAGGGGGGAATTTGGATATAAAAAGCCAGAATCAAAATGGAATGACCAGTGTCGGTTCTGCAAGCAGAGACCAGTGTCGAAAGTTGATCAGCGGTCCAGTCGGTCAGTTAGAGTCAGAAAGCTTCCCGAACAGTCCTGTCAATTAAGCGATCAAGAGTTAGTACAGTGAAAACGTCAGAATCCGGTCGAGTCCAGTTAAATAGTCAGAATTCAATGACAAAATCGAGACAGCCCGGAACAACGGGTTTAATTTGCGAAAGTAAAAAGTAATTAGGTGTGTGCTGGCAGTAGTTAGGAAATTAGAATTGATTTAAGTAAGTAAATATTTGTAAATGTTGTTCAGAGTGAATAATCTAGTCACTGAAAATTGTTGTAACTAAAGGCATACTTCGTTTGATCTAACTAAGGAGATTTAGAGCGTATTCAATAAGTTTGGTACATGAACGTAAAAGTTTTGGGAAAACAATAAATGAAAGTTTTATTATATTGACTGATAAAAATTAGACAAGTTAAGTAAGACATTCTTTTATCCAATATTGAAGATTTTCATCAGCCAATTAGCTCTAAAAGAATTTTGCACTTGAGGAATATCTAGCGTAATTAAAGTTAGGGTTTGAGTATAAATTTAGAGTCCATTTCTAGACCGATGCCTGTAACAAAGAATTAATAAAACCATATTAAAATAATTATCCACAGTTGTGTTTTACTCTCACCCCCCGCAAATAGGACCCATATCAATCTGTGTCCCCACTCAGAAACAAAGCTACCGCTCGCCAATTTCAACATCAATCTAAGTTTCTGAGATAGGGGTCTCACAAGGCGCTAAGGCGCCTCAGAAAAAAAATGCAGCTAATGCAACGAGGATTTTGGGTACGACCTATATTTTAGAAAATCAGAGATTCCTGCAGGGTGCTAGTGATAACTTGAGCCGCTTTCGGGTGCAGAGTGCGAAGCTCCTAGAACACTTCACACCTGTCATACTCCATGCGTTTTGCAATCGAACGCTTGAAACTGGAGAGGTCAACAGAGTACTTCAGACTAACTCGGGAGCGCACAAAGGGAGGCACCCGAAAGCAGCTTTGGTTACAGAAACAAACAAACGTCACAACTCCGCCACTATTACGCCGAAAAGTTCAACAAAATCTAACTTTTTGTCGTAGCGACAGCGTAATTTCAACAATTCAAGATGGCTGCACTGCCGCCAATGAAAGCGCACAAATTAAATCATGTGATTAGTTACGCTTACGTCAATTACGCTCGTGAGAATTCGCCCTTAGGGCGAGAACCCACGGGCGTAATTGACGTAAGCGTAACATGAGCGTAACATTCTTTGCTATAATATTCTTTGCAGTGTTGCCACCCCTATTACAATCGTAATGGTAATAGATCTATTACAATCAAGTAATTTCTATTACGCTATTACCAAAGGAAAAAATCTAATACTTTTTCGGGAAAATTATGTTTTGGTGAATGAGCAATTGAAAAATTTTACAGGCATCATAATTTATCACAACAAACCACGCAGAACACTTTAAAAAAACATCTTTTGTCAATGTTGTGTCGTGTCCTTTGTGCGTGAAACCTGGAAACAGCCGAATGAAAATGATTCACTTCAGTGTTGCCAACTTGCGGGTAATTACCCGATTTGCGGGTAATTTGACTGAAAGCAGGGTAATGGGCTCTTTCACTAATTTTTGAAATTGGCATATTTGGATAAAGCAACTAAAAACAGAATTTTCTGTATTTTTACTTTTGAAAAATTCATAGTCCTTCTTGAGAAAACAGAAAAAAAAGAAATACCTCCAAATAAAAACCCAGAATTTATTTCTATGACGTCGCAGCTCGCTATTTGACCGTGTTGCCACTAATTGTCAACATTGAAAATTTGTAATAGATTTAATTCTGAAATGTTCCCAAAATATCATGAAAAGTAGTTAAATTAATTAGTTATGGATTTAAGATTTTATAACATTTTTATTGAAATTATGCTTAAACACAATTTAATATAATTTTCTATGTTTAGTTTTATTTATTTATTTTACGTTGCACTACATTTAGTCACCACCGACAACAGCGCATTCGAACCTTTACCTGCATTTACTACAGGATAAATACAGCAGAGGCGGACAGCTCTTTCCAACAACAAGCGAAATGAAAAATATTTATGCGACGTCAGCAAATCGGCGCGTTTTTAAATAATTCAAATTTTGGTAGTTTAAAATGCCTGTAAAAAACTTATTTAACCTTGTAGAACATTTTTTTTTGGTATATGTGCCTAAAATAGTCCCTCCTTTGGGATTTTATACCTAAATTACGTATTTAAATTTTAGTGAAAGAGCCCATTTTCTAACATTTTATAAATCGGATAATTTCGGGTAATCGAGACTTCTGGTCCCCAGTATGGTACAAAATGGTTGAAAAAGCTAAAAAAAAGTCGTTAAAATAATAATTAAAATATACGTTGTCTCCTAGTTTTCTGCCACCTGCTCCGTATACTGAAAAAAATGTCCTTTGCCTTGCAACTTTATAGGTATAGGGAGTTCATTTGTACTGCTTTTCTTGTTTCAAGCAGATCTCAGCAGCAGATCAGCTTTCACTTGTTCCATATATAAGCTCATGAATAGTTGCTCCTAGCAGATCTTCCTGATTTTTCGAGCAGGTAGAGCAAGTACAAATGAGCATCCTATTAGCATCATCGATTGGCATGGCACGATAAGCACGAGCTCTTTATCCTTTTCTCTCCTACACCCTTAAAAAAAAAATTAAGATACATCCCCTTAACAACTTTTTTTTTGCTTAGCGCTGTTTTCGAATATGTTCCCCGCCACGAAAACCTGGCAAAACCACTGCAAACGCGGGTAAAGATCGGGTAATTTCGGGTAATTTCAACTAGAAACTCGGGTAATCTGACTTTATCACATTGGCAACACTGCTTCACTTTCAGTTTCATAATGGTTTGCTCGGACTTAGTTCAGAATCAACTCCGAATTGAGCTGCGCATGCGCATTTGTTTATTTATTTTCGGGAATTAACTTCAATTTAGAACTGATTCTGAACTAAGTGATTCTATGACTAAAGAATAAATAATCCTATACTTATATCTAAGTTATGGCAACAAAAACC